TGTTTTCTTTCGTTAAGTAGTTTCCCTCACGTTTTTCCTTCACATAAAGGCTCATGATTGTATGGAGATAATAAAGTGAAATAATATCCGTTTTTTATTCTTCCTTGATGCCAGTTTAATACTAGAAAAAGATAAAAATTCTTTTGCATGTTACCCTTTTGCGTAAAATATTGCTCCTTTAAATAAAAAAAATGATTAAATAAGGAAAGAAATAAGTAAAAATAAAAATAAGTAAAACAAAATAAATAATGTAATGTAAAGAAAATAAATAATTAAAATAAAATAAGTTAAAAAATTGATAAAAAAAGTGGTTCTTAAAAATTTTTACAATGTCGAAAGGCTAGTATTTTTTATCTCGCTGAAAAAATACAATTTTTGTATCATCGATATTCGCATTTTTAGGGTTCATGCCAGTATGGTGACATCACGAAAATTGTCGATAAATGTTCTACAAATGTTGCTAAAATCATATGCATGGGCGACAATATTGACGCATTGAAATAAGTTAAAATTACAAAGCAGTAACGAAAAATGTTTTTTTTCTTTGCATTGAAATCCATACATAAAAAAAATTTACTAATTTTATTTTACGCGCAGGCTAGTGTTTAGTTTAAAGATTTTTCAGATGGAATAAATGTTAATTTTAAACTTTATTATGTCGCTTATTGATGTATGGGAGGATAACAATTATAATGTCTACACATATTTTTCTTATGTGGCACCATAAACGGGTATTTCTTCATGTACTGACGGTGTTATTATTCATCAATAAAACTTAATTTTTTACTCCTCAGAAATTTACATTATTTAGAATTTTCAGAGAATTTTTATTATAACATTTGGTCAGATTTTACTTTCTCGGTTTTCATTAGTTTATTTATTTATTTAGTCGCAGCATTTTCATTTGTATGTTGAATCTATTAACTAATATTATTTTAGCACTTTTTTCAATTAATTTTAATAAATTCAATCTTCAATCATCATGAGATAATGACCATAATTAATTTTAAGTTGCAATATATGACAATTTACAACTTTTCATGTGTACCATAACATGAATCATGTAATTCCTGAAACTAGATGGCTTTTTTTTTCAAGTTTCTCAACCATATTAATTTTTTAAAACACTAATTAAAAAACTGGGTGATATTATTGGACCACTAAATTTATACTTTTGTTGTGAACCCAAAGCGTTTCGAAGTTGACAAAGAAATTCAACGCGATTTGCAGTACTTTTTACATCGTGCTTTTACTTTACTTTAGGTAATTCCAAAGTCATGCCAAAGAACATATTTTGAGAAAAGAGCAAAAAACAGAATCGTAGGTAGCATTTAATGATGGGTAAAGGAGGAATTTTTCAAATTTTTCCTATGTGTTGATTTTCCTCATTGCTTTCTTGGTTAAACTGCAACAAAAAAATCTGCACCGCCTTTATTTTAGAAGGAAACTGCAACAGGTTTCATTATTTTTTTCTTCCAAATTTTAAGTAAGTGTACGTGAATGNATGATTCTTGAAAAATCGATTTTTTGAGAGTTTTAAGGGTCCTGACCCCCCTTAAGTAAGTGTACGTGAATGTCGATCACTTAACACAAGTAAAAGCGGGTCCATTTTAAACAACCTGGCAATTTTCCAAGAAGGAAAAACTCTTAGCCAAAGTTGTTGAACCATAAAGATTTATCCAATAATGATTCAGAGAAGTTTCCCTTCAAAATAGTTACTGGGGGGAAAGTTCGACACAAATTTTGTTCTTTTTCGTATAAACTAGTATTAAGATGAAAGACGCATGGAAAATTTTTTACTGTTTCACAGTTATCGCGCAAAAAATGGCAGCATTTAGACTAATATGTCTTCACGAATAGCAATTCAATTTCTCAGACGTTTTTCAGACACACACAAAACAATTTGTTCAGTAATTTTCTCAAAACCCATGTCCTGATTTAAATATACAAAATTCCTTTTGAAATTTTCAATTGCTTCAAAAAATAAGAAGATGGTAATAAAAGTGGAACTGTTTGAGTGCTCAAAAATAAACTTTCATTTTCAAGACTCACTAGAAGAATATGGGGAAAAACAAAAGATATTTGAAAAAAGAAATGTACAGTTGCCAACTAAAAAATAAAAAATTATGGTGATTAACGAAACTAGAAAACGAGAGTGAAATATAGAATAAATAAATAAATAAACAAAATTAGAAAATTTACAGTGTAACGCAAATGCATTTCCTCGAGCTATGGAGAGTAGGCGTGGAATTCATGTCGTTGACGAGGGAATCGGCATTCATATGAATGAAACAAAGTTCCGTTGTGTCAAGATAAGCTGATGCAACCAGGTTGAACAGAATTTTAGCATTATCAGATTAGAATTTAAGCCTAAGTTTTAAAAAATGCGTGGCAAAAGAATTTTGAGGATAGGTGCCTATTTTTGAGCTCTCGAAATATCTCGACTTTTACTGCCTGATATATTTTTTTAAAGAAAATGATGTTTTTATATTATCTAGTATATATTTCCACTTAATTTTTTTGTGAATATTTATATTTATTTTAGCGAGTTCTTTAAATCCGAAGAAATCAGAGGACGAAAAAACTGGTGATATTTTTTGCTTGGAAAAAGGCTTTAAGAGCATTTAGCAAAAAAGCAGCCTTAGGAAATCTCTCACTTATCATTTTTTTAGATGTAAAATATGCCAATGCCCAGACATGGACATTTTAAATATATACGACTAAACTGTAACTAAGAGCATAAAATTGTTTTCATTAATCAAATTAATATTTTTAAGTTTATAATAACTGAGTATTCACTAGCAAGCTGAACGCAGACACATAAAATTTGAAATTTATATCTAAAATATCAAGCGTACATCTAGCATATTTTCAAAAAATAATTAAAACTTTCTCATAAACGTGTTGAAATAGCTGAAAAGATATTTTTTTCTGTGATCGAATCAAGGAGGATTATATTTCACGTTGCTTCCTGATAATATTAATCATTGTTCTGTCAAAGCAGAGACACATGACAGAGTTCTAATGCCATCAAACTAACAATCAAGAGCTAATGGTGGACATATTTTATCCCAAATGAGTATATAAATTAATGCCGAATAAATTCTTGAAGCTTTTGTATTACTATAAGCGATTCAAAACTTAAGTTATTCCAAATGAATTTTCAAATTGAACTCAAATGAAATGATGTGATCAAGCAAAACCAAGAGCAATTCAGGATATAAACTATCCCAAATGAATTTTTTTATTTATAATTTCGAATAAAACATTGACTTATAACATACTATATAATGAAAATCGTAACACAATCAATTAATAAGCCTGACATGTCTTATGTCAATACATTGACAAGCAAAAATTGAAAACATTGTATTATAAAATTTGGGAGAACGGAAGTATTTTCATGTATGAATAATTAAAAATTAACCAAACGGAATCTTATTCAACTGAAATAATCTAATCTTGAAAATTTTCCTGCTCCGTGTAATACATAAGGTCACATATAAATATAATTATGGAATAGTATTGCTTAATATGTAAAGCAAATGAATGTTTAGGTCTAAAAAACACACTGGAATAAAATTAAAATAGTATAAAAGTATAGTAAATAGTATTTGAAAGATCAAAAGTCAAAGTATCTATTCTATGAATTTTCTGAGGGCACCATTCAGGATGTAGAACCAGTATGCAAGACAGTTTATAAAATTGGATCTTAGTTTATCAACATTGCAACTTTGATTCATTGTGTTTGAAAAATACTTTTTTGTGTGGTTACAATGGAACAAAGCACATATCTTATTAAATTGCGTATAAAATCATAACCAAGGCTTATAAGAATTGCAATGTCAATATAGAAACCAAATATTAGAAAATTTCATTTGACATAGTGACAGAATGTTTCTGAGAAAGAAATGAAGAAAACATAATTAACGATTTTGTGAAAATGTCATAAAATTCTATGAATGTCATCCTCTTTCAAAGGACGGCAAAGGCGAGGAATGAGGATAATTCTTCTCTAAAAAAATATAATACCAATGCATCAGGTACAATGACCTTTGATCAGTAGAATAGAAATATAAGATTCTCTTCGAAAAAAGTTCTCCTAGAGAAAATATAATCATTACATTTACGTTTAAAATGAAGAAAACAAATCTTTCTTAATTTAAGAAAATTACTTGGAAATTTTTGAACTCAAAATATTATCAAATTATAGGTAATTAAAGGTTTAAAAAAATTAAAAGAAAATATTTAAATAAATGATAACTTGTAACATTACACAAATTGTAACTGTTAAAGTTCGGGGTAAAATTAAATAATCATTATTTCGGTATGAATCAACATTACAAAACCATGCACATAACAAAACACTATTAACATATAAATATTATTTATAGAATATTTATGAATTATAAAACAATTAATAGTTGTAAATTTTATATATTTGTTATTCGTTGTGCTTTGTAATATTAGATTTCATTTTATTTCATGAAAGGTAACAAACAATCAATCCCTTTCTAATTCTGAATTTCGACTATTACTGTTCAACTATATTCAATTGTATTTTTGAGATCAAACCAGAAGATAAGAGAACTCCTGGATCTCGCATTTGGGACAAACTAGCCTTCGTGGAAGATTTTTGAAGGAACTAACCAGCATTTGCGTTGCATAGATAGGAAAGCCACGAAAACATCCAAAGTTTAGTCCGATGACAAAGGAATTCGAACCCATGATTCGTCTAACACTCATAATAAATATTCTGTCCACACTGTGATCGACGCTAGCTGGGAACTGACCAACAAAAACATAAGTTCTGGCCATCGGCGAAATAATTGCTGGTACTGATTGAAAAGTGACGGTGCATATTACTGTCAGCTGGGTTGATTGCTGGGACGCCCTCTGATTTTTTTCCAATATTGTAGGAAGAGTTGGGCCCGCATTTCACAAACCGCTCCATTGCGTCAGTCTGAATTGCTCCCTGTACCAGCGAATTAAAGTTGTCTGCTGCCACCAGTGAGGCGTTCGAGCGAGTAACTGTAACTGTAAATTCATTGTTTGCAGGGAGATGCACGATGGACAGCGATAGTTGCCGACATTGATCTTGTGTTAAAGATTCTTTTAATTTTCAAAAAAGGTAAGGTTTTATTTTTTTGATTACATTGAAGTTATTATTTTAATAATTTTTGATTTACTATTGTTCAAATATGTTTACATCGTGCAGATTTCTGTTTACAAGGAACCGCGTTTGAAGTGCTGTTTTAGCATTATGTTTTAGATATGCAATCATCTTTATTCATCTAATACATCATAATTAACACCTTTTTATGATAGAATAATAAATTTTTTTAAAATTAATTCAATGTAAAGCTACAGAAAAATGTTTTATCAACACCAAGATCGCCGCCAAATTTTTGGCGACAATTGAGCAATAGCACGCAAAAAACAAATATAAAATCTGTTGTATGATGATGCTTTTAGTGCAATTCATAATATGTTTGTTGTAGCATATGATATAAATCAGGTTTATCTAAGTATTTTACGAAAATAGGTTTGTGTAATAATCAAGAATTTTCATTAAAACTTATTTCTTTAAGTTAAATAATATTTAGAATTTAGTTAACTAATTGCTGTTAGTAATATTAAAAATGTTTTCTGTTTCATGCATTTAATTTTAAGGAAATTTTTGAGCTAAGTTCAAGTGTAAAAATAGGTAAAGGTCTAATAATTTATATTAAGTAGTTTAAATTAAGATGAAAAAATTCTTTGTACGTGTTAATATAAATATTTATGAAGATTCATGTTGTGAAACAACCTAAAAAAAATATAGATTTTGGAAAGTTTTATGGCATGCAGTTGCTCATGTTTAATTGTATATTGGCTAACCCCACTTACACAAAAAAATATTACAAAATTCTTTTATATTTAGAAATCAATGTTAAGTTACTTCATAATTTTTGTTAAAAGTTAAGTGAATAATGTTTTTATTGTGAATTTCAAGTTAATATTCATATAAAAAAAAAGCACAATTTTTATTGGGATTACAAAAATATACAAAATTTCAATACAATATGAAAACAAAATTAATAATCAATAAAAATAGCAAGCAACACTTTTTCTATTAGCTTTGAAAATGTTAGAAAACTTGTGATAGTTCTCCATGAACTTCTATAAGTTTCCTTATTACCTACTGTGTTAATTATTATTAGGTAATTCAATGAACTCGCTCTTGTATTGGTAACTTGAGATCAAAATTTCTACTTGTGCTTGTTGCTTGTGCTTGTTGACAATTTAAATTACAATCATTTCCTGACCACTATAGACAGAAAATAATACCATTTTATTGATAAATAAGACTTCTTAAAAGGATATTTGACCACTTTCCAAGTAGCCGAGGTGCTTCAAATTTAACTTGTATTCTATTACAAAAACAAGTTAGAACTGCTTCCGAATCACTGAAAGCTAAATTTATTATAATTTTTTGCAGAGAATCGTTCAGTGGAAATTAAAATTTTTCATTTAACTCTTTGAACGATTTTCAACGTTAACGATATATTTTGTGATTCTTGAGCCGAACTTAAAAACTTTATTTGTTTTATTGTTGATAATTCCATTAATAAAATTTCCTGGCCTACAAGTTATTTTTCTCATTCTAATTAATAAAAAATATTGGTCTAATTTTTATATAAACATTCCAGGTGTCCGTTGTGTAATACTTTTAAAATGTTTGCTAAAAGTTGAGCGAAAAATATTTTTACTGTATATCTCAAATTAATATTCACATAAAAATAAGAATTTCTTTTTCTTTCAGCTCTTTAAATGTTGGTAAACCAGTGCCAGTCCTCCATGAATTTCTGTGAGTTTTATTACTTAATGTGTTTATTATTATTAATTTAATTAACTCGCTTTTCATGTTTGTAACAATGGTAACTTGCAATTGAAATTTCTACTATTTTCAACTAGTTGAAGTACTAAAATCTCTAATGTAGCTCTGTGCTTATCAACTTCATTTTTCAATAAGTTGAAGCGCTCCAAATTCAACTCGTATTCTATTGACAAATAAGTATTGTCATTTTGAGAAGTATTACTTTAATTGTTAGTATTTAAATTATGATTTTAAAGAACAATTAGGGACATTTAATGTATTAAGCGAATTCATTTATAAAGTACACCACTCTTTGGGACCAAGAGAAAAAGACTATAAGATTTTAAAAACAGTAAGTTCATACAAATAAGAAAAGCTGGATAGAAAAGTTTCAATGGCTGGATAAAACTACAAATAGTCATGAATAGTGACTAAACCTTCTAATTCTTTATGATTTCAAGGAACGTTTTTGTCATCTCTGCTTTTGCTGAAACTGTATAATAGTAATCGCTACAACTTAACATTCTTTTACCAAAAACTATTGTTTTAATTTTTGGTGGGAAAGAAACTGTGCATGATAAATTTGTAAAGCATATGTTTGATACATATATATGGTTGTTTTAATATGGGTGGTGTAATATGTAAGACACCATATTCAAATTCATAGAAGAAAGTGTCTTCCTAGAAACAATATAGGTGAAAAAGTGGAAGAAAGAAGAACTATTTAACTAGATCCAGTAACATATTTCATTTTATCTGTAACGAAGATTGTTTATTTGCTTTAATTTTCAATCTAAAAACTTTTTCTGAGAAAAAGTGATTTTTTTTTTCTATTTAAACAAAAAAAAAATCAAACATTTTTGTCTACTTTAAAAAAAATTGCTTGCTGAATTGAAATATTTATTTTCTAAATGATGCATAAATGAATTATCATTAAAATTACTTTCCTATATAATGATAAATGATCCTTGAGAACCTTTGTATATATGCAAAATCACATAAAAGAGGTGGCGCAGAAGTGATAGGTCACTATATGTTGTTTGATATTTTAAAAATGGTTATTAATTTTAATTTTAATAGTTTTCTCCCTTATTCAATGAAGAAAAGTGTCATATTTATAAATTTTATTAATGTGTATATAAAAGATTTTTTCAAATTTTATTAAGTACTAATTAAAATTATTTTAATTAAAATTTTGATTGGGAAAACACAATCATATTTAAAAACCTACCTTGTTAGCATAGCTTCAAAACATGTAGGTTAAAGAGAAAAAAAAATTTATGTTAGAGTACTGATTTGAAGCATCTTTAAACTAACCTGCACATTATTGCATGTCTTCTAAGACATTTGGTAGAAATTTTTTTTTCGATAAGAACAATTTTTTAGTCCAAGCAAGTAAAATGCCTCGTAAAATGTGTAAGTAAATTTCATTTTTGGTAACTAAAAAATAATGTTACTAATACCTACATTTCACTTATTTATCCATTCTTAAATAGTATAAAATCTTTTTATTTGGCAAAAATACACCTTTACGAGAAAAAAAAGCTTTCTTGAAACTAAACTTTAAAATGTAAACACATTAGGAATCTCTAAATTAACATTTAAGTGCGAAGGAAGATAAAAAGTTATAGAAATCTCACGATTTCTTTATGAGTTAAAACAGATGAAATACATCAGAACCAGTTTTATTGCATATTGAAATGTTGAAGTTTTAAAGATTCTTTTTTAACTTTCCTGTCCTCTGGCAATCATACAGGTTTAAATGTTTTCAGTTCAGTTTTCCTTCGAATTATTCATTAGATTTCAATAAGTTTTGTTTCTTTTCGTTTGTGACCCTTAATACGTGTATCCTATAACAAAGTTTTTTTTTTACTAAATTCAATAAGTATACATTGAAAGTGGTTAATGTGCAACACCTGCTATACTAATCGACGGAAAATGACGACTAATTTTTCTGTATCAAACGAAACTGCATGTAGTATGCAGTGTACTTCCTCGAGAAGGGCCATCCGTCCTCACTGCCCTTTGATGACACTGTCTGATAACATTCCTTTTAAAAAATTAATTGTGTAAATGATAATTACACATTTTTAAAATTATTCCTGATAATAGGTTTGATTCTGATACCATTACAAATATTTACTTTGTAAGGATTTTTCTCAACTGGTTAAATTTTTAAAAGCTTCTCTTTTTGATATTAATAAGTTCATTAATAGATTTTAAAGAAAAAATTTGAAATAAATTTTTTTGTTAAAAATTAACCTTTAAATATTTATTTACTTCATAATTTTCAGTTTAAATTATAGAAAAAGCTCTCAAGTCTAACAATTTTTTTTTAAAGTGTGCACAATGATTTTCTATGAGCATATATTTTTTTTTTCGTAAACTACAAATTTTTCTCATTTTGATAATTTGTGAGAAATACTTTTTGAAATATACATGTAAAATAGTATAAGATGGTAATTTTACAGTCGTTGGGAATCAAATTCATCTATTACAAAATAGTACACATTTTGTTAAATATTTACGGTATTAATTAAGAACCCTTTAAAACTCGGTGTATCCATTTCTGTGAGGAAGCACCTTGCCCTTTTTTATTCCTAGGCGTAGTAGTGGAGTATTTAATACAATTTTTCGCTAAAGAAAGTAACTAAATAAATGAAAAATATTGAAGAAAAGAAATTTCATCAGAGATGTAAACAATGTTATTAATAGTTGTGTAAATTTTTCATATTTTGTCTTACATCTATACCAGTTATATAGAGACATTGCGAAAATCGTGATACTGGTCAAATCTGTAGTAATTCTTATCTAATTCTTGAGTTTTTTATGTAAGGAAAACATATTAATTTCGCAAAGCATCACCATTAAAGTAATTTAAAAATTTATTGAAATATAAAGTTATTACGGAATTGGAAAATTATCTGCCTTTTTAATTAGCAAATTTTGAGCAACCTTTTAACATTTATTACTGAACTGTTTTCAATTAATTACATATCATTGTTTTGATGCCTATTTTAATATGAAAAATGCTGTAAATTTTGAAATTTTTTTTTGTCAAGCGCATACAATTAAAAATTTAATCATTAAAGTAAAGCGGAAAAGAAATGCAATTGATAAATTCGTGCAAGTAAGTGATATATATTTAAAAGTAATTTTTCTTCTATACCTTTCCTTAAAACAATAATTTATTTACATTGGAATATCATAATTATTTTAAATATTAAAAGCAATAAAATTGAGCACCATAAAGTTAATAAAGGGAAAAAAACGGCATGTCTTTGAAAATTAAATATCTGAGAAAAGGTGTGCACAAAATAAGAAATTGAACACTCTGAATAACTTTTCATTTAACAGTCAGATTTTCATGCACTAGGTGTCAATCTTAATGGGTTCATGAGTCAATATTCAATAATTTCATTAAGAAAGGAATTTTTTTGCTCAAAATCTTTCTAAATTATAAGGCAGGTGTATGTTTGCATGGTGTTACAATATGTATTTTGATGAGTCAAAATTTATCAATGAAATGATAAAAGAAAAAACTTTTAGATAGAAATTTTAGTTTTAAAAGCTCATTTTCTCAAAAATACTTATGTTGCTTAAAATATATGATTTGCATAATTTTTATTTTAATATCCTCTCTTTCAGGATTTTGAAAAATGTCAAGCATTGATTGGTGCAGTTGTTTTATTGAAGTTTTTCAGAACTCTTCTATGCTATTCCAAGTTATTCTATGTAGACAAAGATGTTTATTTCTCTGTTGTTTTTATTATTTTTTAAAATTAAATGCGAAATATAAATAGAAATTTGTGTAATATCTGTATTGTTTATGGATTTGTCTTTGTATAATAAAATATATGCAAGAGACAATGTTGATTATGTATTTAACTAAGTTCAGGGTACATTCAATTCATTACATGAGATAACCAGGTGACTAAATTGGTACATTTTTGTACAATACACTTTTTTTGTTGCTAAATTTGCTACAGGACTAAATATTATCAGTAAAACATGAATTCATGATCAATACCGCACTAAATGATCATCTGTAGACAGCTTCTTAATATTATCGACAGAAGGTTGTATTTATTTCTGTATAGGGTACAATAGTGTCACAAGATTCTTTAAAAACACACAGCTTTTATTTTAATACTTTATTTTTAGCTTTATTTTATGTTTAGTAATTCATATACATATATATTGACTACAAGTTAAAACTTGAATAATTACTTGTGAGATACAGAATTTTTCATATGTCTGGACAGCATTTTTATTATTCTGCTTTTAAGTAGAATAGCACAGTAAAGGATCTAGTTTAACAATGTATTAATTAGCGGAAACATAGATTATGCACAGAAAGTCTTCTGGACTAAGGGGTTGAACTGTGTAAAAAATATTTTTCTTTCCAAAAAACAATTTAAATGAAAAAATTACCTAAAAATATTTTTTTTAGTTCATATATTAATAATTTATTTAAATATGTATTAGATAGCTATGTATTTATTTAACTAATTGAATTAAATAAAAATAATTAGAATTGTGGGTTTTAATTACCCCTGTAACTAGGTCAATGACTTCTCGTAAACCTCAATGGACTGAAGGGATGCTGCTGGGTGTATATAAAATGCTGGCCCTTAATTATTGATTCATTAATTACCCTCTGCTGGAAGATGTCGGGCAATCACTTACCCTGCACATTTTAGACAATGAATGCTGGGTTAAATACTACTGGCCCGACAGGAGGCCAGCCATTCATTTTAGTAAAGTTGAAAGTGACTTAGAGCAGGCACAGACCCGTCGCTTTAGCTGTTGGCAACCAGCAGTTCTGTGAAGCTGGACCTACACATTTGTTTTGGCTGAAATCGAATCAACCTATATATATATATNCATATATATATATATATATATATTCGGTATCTGCTGAAACAGTACTGTTACCATGATATTAATTATACTAATTATCAAAATTAATTAAGGATCTTAGACGTTAATAGTTTGGCTATTTTTAATTGTTTCCCTAAACGAATAAGTACTTTTTCTCTATGAGTTTTGCTTTTAGTACATAATTTATTTTTTCATTTCAATTACCATTAATTCTAAATTATTTAATTTAAAAAAATGCTTTTCAAGAACGTAATTTCAAACAAAGTAAAAACGTGTTTTCAGAAAACAAGAGAGATCTTAATTATGTGACATCACATGCCCTCCATATTTATCATTGATCCTACCTGATGAATAAAAAATAATTAAATATTAAGAAAAAGGTGACATAGATCACTTTTTTTCCCTTGACTAAATGATTGCTAGCAATCAAAAGTGGTGTTATTCATCTATTCGTTAAATATTTGAGAAAGAAAAAGACAAAGCTTAAATTATAAAATGGCTAATAATTTCCGACTTCCAAACTGTATAATTTAGACCATTGGTTCTCAACGGTGGCGATACCGCCCTCCTGGGGGCTGTGGGAGTATGCTGAGGGGCGGTGAACTTGTTTTGGGTGGTAGGGGGGCGTTGGATATGTTTTGGGTGGTAGGGGGGCGATGAGCATGTTTTGTCATTCAAATTTAATTTCAAAACTTGCAAATAAAATTATTGAATTAAGATTTCTTTAATAAATAAAATTAATCTAAAGGAAAAAAAGATGAAATTTATATATTAAATAGGGATTATCCGATACACCGTTGTACCAGCTATAAAACGAACTTAAAAGACACCTATTCTTCGATCCGAACCAACACAGCTCAACGCATGAGTCAGTAGTTTTTGCCTCTGATTCATTCAAGCCATTTGGTGGAAATTGAAGTGCATGCGCTTTCAGTATGAATGTTTGACTGGACCAGTGTTTCTTAAGCTTCCTTGCGGTTTTTTGCCCAGTTTCGATTAGATCTCATAGTTTATTTGGCCAGGTACGTGCGCGAATTAGTTCTTTTTCATAAATTATTTATTAATTTTGAGAAATAGTTGATTTTTTTCCTCGTCTGTATTTTGCTTACACTAACAATGTCGGTTGACAAAAAGAAGTGTCATCAATACAGTGCCACGTGCTTGAAGTTGGGATTTATACAATCACTGTTGCACTCTCAATTACCCATGTGTTTACTTTGTAATAAAGATTTTTCTAATGAGGTAATAAAATCATACCGTTAGCAGCAGCATTTGAGAAAAACTTATCCTGACAAACAAAATATAGATTTGTCATTTTTCTCAAACACATCTTGTTTCACGTTTCTGAAAGCATCTTCGGTGTCAAGGTAACTAGCAACCTCATCACAAAAATGAGACGATGGTTTGATAGCTTCTTATAATATATCAAAATTTATTGCTAAATCTGGGAAAGCTCATACCATCGAAGTAGAGTTGATACTGCCGGTTGTCAAGGAAGTTTTAGAAACTGTTTTACACTAGCCAGCCGCATCCAATGTAATAAAAAAAACATCCCATTAGCAACAATTCAGTACGGTGACGAAATGATGAGATGGCCGAAGACGTTCAAATTTCTTTATGCAAATTTTTGATATCCATCGAATTTTCCCTTCAAGTTGATGAATCAACCTTGCCAGGTAATGTAGGCTTTACTGTAGGCATAGGTCCGGTTTGTAAAGGTAGAAAACATTATTCAAGATATACTTTTTGCAAGAAGCTTGATTATATAGATACCAAAGGTAAATCTATTTTTAATACTGTCGAAGATTATTTCAAAGAGAAAAACATTCCTCTTGCGAATATTATGTCTATTGCCACTGATAGGCTCCTGCAATGGTGGGTCGACGTCGTGGGTTTATCGTCCTTTTAGAAAGGGTGGTACCAGATATTTTAACTGTTCACTGCGTGATTGACATACAGCATTTAGTAGGAAAAAATCTCAGGGACCGTTTGCATCAATCATTGCAATATTCCATATCTGCAGTGAACAAAATTCACAGTAATGCTGTCTACGATTGATTATTCAGACTCTTGCTACTATACACCGAGATTCTCTGGCTTTCCAAAAGCTTCTGTCTCAATAGGTATTGGAATCTTTTCGACTCTGTGCTTGAGTTCCTCGAAAACAGAAATGTTGCTCTGAGAGACAGATTGCTAGAATTTATGAAAGACTTTGGCTGATTTATCTGTAAAATTTAATGGCGGTGATTTTAAAATTTCAAGGCGATGAACTCAATTTGATCCCTACAAAATCAGTTATTTCAGCCTTTCTAAAAAGACTCATTTTGTGGAAGCAGTATTTTGGTTGGAAAGAGTTCAGCCAAGCAGGCGAAATTCTCTCTGATGACGCATAAGAATATTGTGAACACCTTGACTCTTGGCACATGGACTTTTCTGACCCTTTTAAAGACGTTTTGTTCCCTAGAAGTCCCTCAATGGACTTGTGTGTTTTGAACCCTTTTGTAAATATTGAAACAACAGAGGTTCAGATTTACGAGGAATTGATAGAATTTTTAACAAATGAAATTTTAAACTGGTGATCGTCTCACAGAATTTTTGCTAAAAGGTAACATGAGTCGTCTCTATCCTGGACTATAGACAATAGTTACATTTTTTTAATTGTCTTCCCTGCCTCCTAATTTGTCGAACGGGGATTCAGTGCTGTTACGGATCTTGTCACAAAAAGGAGAAATCGACTCGAAATTGTGCAACGAGGGTATTTGTGTCTTCCTCTCACTAAAAGTATTAAACCGAGGGTTAAGGAATTACTGTCTGAACCATTAAGTACAATCATCCCAATAACATAGTTACTTGACTGTCTCGTTGATATTACTTTTTAGTGTAAAAAATTATTTTGGGTGTTTTTTTAATTATCTAATTAAGAATAAATTATTATTTTTCAGTATAAGTTTCTTTGCTGTATTTATTTTTTCATTAAACGTATTTATTTTGATCATAACAAATAGACTGTGATTACCTGCCGTGAGAAAATTATCGAGTTAATTTTTAAAAAAAAAAAAAACCAAACAAATTTAAAGTGTAAGAATATTGCTTCAAAATTTTGTCTCTTATAACTCAGCACACGTCCCTCCGTCCCTAGTCTAAATAACAAAGGGAGGTGTTGAAATGTTTTTTGCTCCTTAAGGGGGCGGCAGCGTTATAAAGGTTGAGAACCTATGATTTAGACCCTTTAAATGTTAACATTATTCTTTGATTTTTTTCCCCAACATCTCTAGAACTATTAAATTGAATTGAATCATTATTGAACATAATTATAAAATTCTTTAATCCAAATATAATTCCTTGCAAAAAATAATAGATACTGCAAAAAATAATTTATTGTTTTATTTAATAATGGTCGAAAAAAAATTTCATTGCGAGTCATACAAATTTTTGCATTATTTTACATGTAGAGTAATTTTACGTTACGTTTTGGATTAGATTTACAGACGAATGGTTTATAACCTTTTAATGCTAGTGTTTTAATCAAAGCTTGTGCATAATTTTTCCTGTTTGAAAAAAAATTGCTCATATTGAATTTTCTTTTGAAAATTTTCATGTGCCATTTTAATTATAATATAAAATATTAACTTATAAATTTAAACTTTATATAGTTTTATAATGCCACATAACTTTATATAGTTTTATAATGCCTGTTTATCATAATTTAATGCTCAGTTGTTATTACTGATGATACATATGCCACTTGCCAATATCCGTTAGCCTGCTTGAAATCAAGCGAACTTTTAAAGCAGTGTGTGCTCTTTTTGTTTGTAGTGGTGCCATCTATGTCCAAGAATACGATTCTGCCACACACACATGTTGCAACCGGTTTTACAGTGAGGACTCATACATCCATTCATCCTGTCAAGATCTTTCTAAGTTCATGTAAAATGATTTTTTAGGATTGATCAGTGGAAATGTTGTTATTCTAG